CCTTTAGGCAGTTTTGATTTGAGAAACACAGTACCAAGGAAAGAAAATCAAATCAAGACAACAGAATCACAGTTTATTGGCACATTACTATAATGTTCTTCCCAGATCGAGTGTATATTTCATAGCTTACTTCACAGTGTATAACTGAGGGGTGGGGGAGAAAGCTAGTCAGCGCAGACTTTTTTTTTTAACTAAGCGGGTAGCAGAAATTGTTATAAGGTTCAGATCAGTGGTGGGTTGCAGGCGGTACGCCCCGGTACGGGTGTACTGGAGTCTACCCTGAGCACTGCATATCGTTCCGCTACGGTGCTCCGGAGGGCCCACCTGCCTGTACAAGCTCCTTACCGGTCTTTTAAGTCTTCGGCACTTCCACGCATGCACACGGCACATACAGTGCCTGCATGACGCTCCCCTGAGCAGCTGGAACGTCGTGGAGGCTCACGGAGGCACTAAGACGCATGTGCGCACTGCACGGATCCATGTGGATGCCACCAGGAACCCACCAGATCTTTTTCAGAGAAGCTTTCGGGATACTGGGAAAGATAAGAGTATTCCTTAACTTAATGATGTTGAACATCCATTCACTTGAATCATGAATGAAGGAAGGCAGGTGACTATATTTTTTTCCTATTCTAGATCACTCTTAGGAGAAGGAGTTTCCAGGACAGCAACATTCATGGAAACAACCTGCCCATTGATAGCCATAGGGATATGCTAGATCCCATTCCTAGCCATGGGAATGTATGTCTCATCATTGACCTTTGAGGAGAACAAGTAATAATATTAATAGAATAGAATATTCTTTATTGGCCAGGTGTGTTTGGACACACAAAGAATTTGTCTCTGGTGCACAAACTCTCAGTATACATACGAGTGATAAGTTATAAATCATAAGATAAAACCAACAAAGTGGTAATCATAAGATACCAATAGGAGTAGGTAGGAGAGGAAAGATGAGAAGGATAACAGCAATACAGTCCTTAGGCAATGACGGCAATAATATTATTAATATCATTAATTATAATTATTAATATAAGACAATAATGTATTCTCAAGATTTTATCAGTCAATTGCAAAAGGGTTTTACAATGTTAGAGTTATTGTCACAGAATGTTGGCTGTCCCAAGTAAAGCTGCTCAATTGCAAAATATCTCTAATTCAGTGTTTCTCAACCTTGTCAACTTGAAGATGTCTGGACTTCAACTCCCAGAATTCTGGCTGGGGAATTCTGGGAGG